TCAGTTTGTCTAAAGTAGAATCTAGCTTCAATTAAATATTCTTCTAGTCTTGTAATTTGTCCTAAATGCTTCTCCCAGTTTGCATCAATAATCAACCCGACTCCTGACCCTTTCTTTTTTATGATTGTGCTTTGTGTCCAAAACCCTTTTTTCCCATTACTCAATTCGATAAATCTTAATTCTTTCTTATTTGCGTTGGTTTCAACTAGCCCAAGTATATTAATTTCATTTTCTGATATCCACTCATCTATTGCTTTAAGTTTTGTCTTATTCCTCTTGATCCTATTAATGTTGTGGCATGCTATATTTAACCTAATGTCTCTTTTCTGTGTTATAAGGCTTGACTTCAATTTTACTCTTCCATTTTGAGGCTGAATCTTACTTGAACAACTTAGTGTTAAGCTGCCCCTTTTCTTTTTTACAACGCCTGTGGCAAAACTCAGGAGCGATTGGGGCCAATGGCCCCCTGCTGTCTTTCCTCAATCTTAGTAAGCCTTTTCATGATTTCTTCTAACATACCCCCAAGCTTTCTAACATCTACTTGATCATTAGAACCCATCGTATTTACCGTTGTCCCACTTGGATTCTTACTCAAACCTTCATTGCTTATCTCTTTAATGTTTTCCTTGTTCGCTCTTTTTCCTTCTTTGGCTACAAACTGAGTTTCCCTTGTGAGCTTCAGTTTGCGATCCTTAGCTACTTCATTTAATTCTCCCTTCTCGAGTCTGTTTGAGCCTAGGTTGAGTTTTCTAAAGTTTACTCTTTCATCTGACGAAGATCTCTCTTTCAAAACGACATGATCTCTTCTCTCTCCAGGCCTCTTCCACTTTTTATCACTTTTGCCTAGCCATTCTAGCTTCGTGTTATAGTAGAAAGTGTTTCTTTTCTGAGCTGACTCTAGCTCTCCTCTTGATTCGAAATACACCGATACTGTTCGTCTTTGGTTTTGATTGTTGTTATATGAAATATAAACTGCCTTTGCACCTACCCCTTTTAACTGTCTTAACAAAAGTACTTCTATTGCTGATGTTGGGATATTTTTAACTATGCTCTTGAATCTTGTTCTGCTCTCGAGTATTTCTTTCATGAATGCACTAGGTGTTACTCTCAACATTTTTTCTTTTACAAAATGTACTGCCCATGCAGCTTGGAAAGCCGACATACGTCTAATATTGTGGTATTTAATTGTAAAGGAAACTGCCTTATTTTTCTCTTGTGGCTTCCATCTCAAAATATTAATCTTGCTATAGAAATGCAAGCATTTCCTTATTGCTTGTGACCGTACATACAATGGTATGTCTCATAGTGTAAATAGTTCAGCCTGGTTCTCTCCATTTATGCCTCCTCTTAATGGTATCTTTTTCTGTTTATCACTTTTACTGAGCTTTAGTGCATCTTCTAAAGTTTCAGAGCTCGTCACCATGGCCGTAATACTTGGCATCTTTTCTAGTTCTTGTGCCACCTCTTCTGTTGTATCGTTTACGCTTTCTTGACCAGAAAATACCTTCACGTCTTCTACAATCAGGTCAGCCTCTGTATTACTTTTCTTAACCAAAGATGTGAGTAGTATGGTTGTTAATTTCGTCTATACCGTAATCGACTACTCCACTCTTATACCCGATTAGTTTTTCTTTAACCTGTTTATCAAAACTTGGCTTCGCTTTACTTCTGGTTAGCTCTATCTCTCTTTCTTTACTCTTCAGATACTCATTATAGTCATATAGCTCTATTATCCTTCTAAATATACTAATTATTTCTGGTGCAGCTCCAGTTAATGCTGCTATTTCTTTGTCTTTCCGTAAAACTAAGTGTGAATGTTCTTGTCTTGCTACATTCCACTCTTCAGGTGATTTTGTAAAAAAATCTTTGTACTCTTCTAACTTGCTAAACCAGTTCAAACCTGCTACTACGGTTTGTTTATCATGTGTCACCATCTTACGTTATACTTGTTTGGTTCACAGTAATCTTTGTTTTGGATATCAGTTACATGTGTACTGTTGGTTACTATTTGTTTTGTAATATCTTGACGTGTTTGTTTACTTTGTATGACGTGAACAGATCTGCAGACTGGGGTGAGACCGTTTCCCACTTTTTTTTAAAAAAAAAAACCAACTGACTTTTGCCAGAATGCTATTTCTGAAGTAACCTATGCTACTTGCTATAGATTATTACACCTTGTTTTAATACAACTTATTGTATCCCTTTTGTTTTACAACTTTAGTTAGATGCAGTCTCTTTGTTTCTATAGACGTTTGGCTGACTTTTTTAATTTTCTTTCTTCAGAAATTTTGGTCACAGTGATCGGCGGAGAGAGTTCCGTTTTTTTTTTGGGATATACAAATATTATTTATTATATAATTTTTTTAAGCCTAATATAAATTATAATAATATATTTTATACAGTATTTTTCTAATTTTATATTTATTTTTTTAGATTTTAGTTTAGATTTTGTTAGCTTTAAAAAAGTTTTTCTTTTTGTTTTTCTTTTTTTATATTTTTTTGTTATCTCTTTTATTCTTTTTTTGTTTTTTTTTTATTATTTTTTTTTGTTTTTTTTTTTAATTTTTTTTTCTTTTTATTTTAAATCTTTTATAGATAAGTATAAAAATTTTACTTTTTTTTATATTCAGTAAAGAAAGAAAAATCTGAAGAGTTTAGCTCTTAATAGAGTTGATAGAATCTTCTACTTCCTTCAAAATAGTAGTACAATAAATTATACTAATAGTTAACTATATAAAAAACTAAACAATACCAAACCTACTATATGTAGATAAATAGTTTATAAAACTTGTTTTGTATTTTTTTATCTTTTAATAAAGGTACTAATGAGACTATTAAAAAATTTAAAAAAAATAGTTTAATAAAAATATTATTAATTGTGCAAATAGACTATTTGAAAGTATATAAATAAATATTGTTTTATAAAAAAAAAATATATTATATTGTTATTTGCTATTGTAATTTGTTTAATAAATAAAATTTTGCTATTTTTAAATCTATTAATTATAAAAAAAGAAGTTTTGGTAAAAGTATATTAAAAATTAAATAAGAATTATAATGAGAATATAAGAATTTAAAAAAAAATTGTTAATATTAGATAAAAGAATATTATGAGTTGCAAGTTAAATTAATTAATAAATTAGTATAAAATTTTTGGTTTATATAAATAAAGTAAGAAATTTTAAAAAAAGAGCTATCAAATTTAATTAAGTAGATATTAAGATATCTTTAATTAAAAATATTTGTAATTTTTAAATATTTATTAAATAGAAATTATGCTAAAAATTGTTATAAACTTTGATCGAAGATTTCTTAACACCTATCTGACTATATTTAATAAACTTTATTTTATTAAATTTTATAAAATATTACAATTAAAAAAAAAAGTTTATTGAATATAGTCAGGTCAGGTGGGTGTCAAGTTATTATCGACCAAAGTTTATAACAATTTACAACAAGGCTTCTATTTAATAGATGTTTAAAATTTACAAAAAAAATTTGATAAAGATATCTTGATATCCATCTAATCAAATTCATAAACTTTTTTTTTTCTTTTAAATTCTACAAATTGCTACAATTAAAACAAAAAAAAGTTCATCGAATTTGGTTAGATGGGTGTTGAGATATCTTCGATTAAGGTTAATAAAAAATTAAAATAATTAGCAGAAATGTGGCATTATCAAGAAGAGTGTAAAAAATATCAATTTCTTAAATATATCTTTATATACTATATATACAATATATATTTTTAGCCTTGAAATTAAAAGAATCTGCAAATTTTATCACGCAATTATAAATTTAACTCAATAAATATAATATCTAATGTTCAAGTTTAACATTAAAGTCTTATTATACTCATTGACCAATAAAAAATAGCGTTCGTAGTTATCTTTAAGAGTTTAGTCACATGATTATTTCAAATAGTATTATGTTCTAATAAAACTATGTATATAGCCAAAAAAAAATATATATACGTACTAAGTTTGAAACTACGATTGAAAGATAAAGAATTCTAAAGGTGATGCATATTCTAAATATCGGCATCAAAAAAAAAAAAAATTAATTTATTAAATTCATTATACAGGAATCAGCCCCAATCTCTAAACTTGTCGTAATAAACAATACGCGTGATGCATCATTCTTTTATTGTTTGTAAACATTTTCGAAGATGCATTTTTTAAAGTCTAATTTCAGATACTTATTTTTTTTTTAAAAAAAAAAAAAAAAACAAAAAAACAAAGCTTACTAATATTGCCATAATTATATCGTTACTTGATAGTAACCAGTATATAATTACACAAAACTTAAATTTTCCCAATTAAACATCTGTACGCCATTGCTCCACAAAAAGTTTGCTTAGAATTTTCAATTAATACTATTTTCTCCACAAAACTTTAACAACCTCGTTTCAGATACATAACACGAAAGTCACGCGTTATAAAATTTGGGATTATTTTCTTTACGAATTTGTATGTGTAGGCGTTCTCTTCTAAATTGAGAAGAAAGGATATTATTTTTTTTTAATGCCAAAATTCTCAAGCGCCCCCAACGCGTGATTTTTTTGTAAGCGACCATGCATAGATTTATTCGAAAAAGAATTTTAATAATAAAATAATAATACAATAATTTAATTCATTTAGATTATTTAAGTACTGTTATTGTTTTAAGAATAATGAGTATGGGTCTTTCATTTATTAAGATGTATTAAAACCGATTCGGGAGGATCTCATGTAAACTCTAGATGTAAAATATAAACAAATAGAAATATCTATTGTTATTAGATAAATAAACAAGTTTCAAAGAGAGGAAAAAAGATTCACGCGCATACATTATAATAAACTATCTAACGCAGCAAGGCGTACTAATAGAAATTAGAAGTAAGAAATTTTTTTTTTTGCTCATTCAGACGGTGTCACGCGCATAACGAATTTCCGTAAATACATTTCAAAATAGAACAATCGAAAAGACAATCGATTTTTTTTAGTAGTTTGTGAACCTTAAAAAAACTTATAGGTTAATTTTGAAAAGACGGAGTTGGGAGGCAAACTTACAAGTAAGGAAGTTGCATAAACATTTATTTGGAGTTCTCGAATTTACACGGGTATCCGATAATATTGAAAAAATTTTTGAAACCTTGAGAAAAAAAAACAATATGAATGGTTGTTTAAGAATTTCATTTCGAGAAGGATAACTTTATCTTTTTTAAGTATATACGTACGTAAGTAGGTAGGTAGATACATACTGAATTCGATTCAAAAGGGGATAACTATTTTTAATAAATTTCATAATTAGAATTTTGAGATTTTCTTCATTGATTTCATTCGTGTATTTAAAGTATTCGTTAATTTCCTAAGAAGTCTCTAAAACCAAATTTAATAATGATTAGCAACAGGAGAAACAGCTGGAAACTAAAAAATGTGGGGGGGGGGGAGGAGAAATGCATTACATAATAATATATTAACTTACGAATAAAAAAAAGAACACCGAAATTTCGAAAATTATGAAGCGTAGTGGCGTTTTTCCTAAAAGGAAATTATTTACCGTATATGTCGAAGTAGCATCGAAGAGACGTAATCGTCAATGCTTCGTTGTCGATGACAAAATATATTTGAAACGACATATTATCATTTGCTTATGACATGTAATTAACAGTTAAATAGAACAAAATTTATATCCAATAAATTTCGTGCATAAATTACGTTTTAGCATAACATTGCAAAAGATCGGACTTCCAACTTTCGGCCAATGCTTGTTAACCTACTATTGTAATAATACAGATTCTAGACCAGTTTTATGAAATTTAATCGGCCTGCATTAATCTACAATTCACATCAACTTCAGGTTATAAATAAATAAATAAAAAATTAGACCATATTTGTCATTTTTTTATTTCCTTTTTTTTTTTAATTAATCAAATGAATAATGAATGCTATTACACTCATAGTAAGAATAAAAAAATACCAATACTTTTATTCGTTCGGGATTTAAGATTTTTGAATGTAAACATACATACAAGGAAGTATTTGAACCATAGCTTCAATGCGATTTTAGAACACGACGTACGCATCATCAAATGTATCACAACAATTTTTACATATCGTAGATTCAGAAGTAACAATATTTATTGAGAAGATTTCAAGTTTGTGGTAAGAAAACTTTAATACTTATGTATGTAAATAGTTGCATAACGCGTCATCTAATAACGTCCAAAACATGTAATTCTTTATGTAAAATTGTCTATGGCATGTATCACATTAAAAAGAATAATCCGTTTAGATCAGTAGATATAACTAAAGTTAATTAGATAAATCACATGACTATTCACAAGGCATGATGAACCAAACATAAGGCTTATAATTTCATAACAGATAATTTATTTATTTTATTTTATTTATTTATCGTTATTTTATTTATCAGATATTTTATTTATTTATTTATTTATCAATTTATCTAATAGAAAGCCTATTTAGAGCACATATTACTTGGCAAAAAAAAATCAGCAAGTTTAATTCCTGCGAAATTTTCGGATCTAAAACCAAAACTATTTACATGCCTAAAAATGATAATGTAAGCAAGTATATAAGCATATAGATTAGGTACCTGCAAACAAACGTCATGCAAAAAAAGAAAAAAAAAAACGGAAAGGAAACTAGCAGTAGTCTTTTGAACGACAAATACGTAAGTACCATTTGATTGAACTTTTTACATACGAACATAATCATAAACTCTAGGGTTACATTCTAAAAAGATTGACAATTTTTTATTGATCATAGAAGAATGTTATTTACTATTTCGAAAAAGAAACATGTATATATACATGTATATATATAGATATATATAGATATAGTTTATAGATAATTTGTAGATTAAGCAAGTGAGTGACCCAGCCGCATTAGTTTAGCATAGTATAAGCATTAAGGCTGTACATCTATAATCAAAAGATGAATTTTTTAATCAGATGAAAGTTTAAAAAAAAAAAAAAAAATACTTATATATATATGCGCATATATCGAGATATATATCGAGTTTAGAGTGCTTTTTATAACACTCAGACCACATATGAAACACACGATATACATATGACCATTTAACTAACGCTAAGCAATTAACATCTATTTTATCAATGATATAACCAACAAGCATTGCGGCACATACATATATATATCGATATACACGATTAACAAAGCATTTCAACGCCTCAATACACTCGGTAATTTTAAACCGAAATAAAAAAAAAATCACGAGGATCTTTTTTTAGATTGTGAAACGAACTGATGAGTATAGGATAATATAGGGTTAAGTATAGAAATAGAATAAGTATAGGTAAGTGTAGGAGTATGAAAATGAGTATGGGCGGAGAAACCATTGGCAATGATTCAACAAATCTAGTTAAATATTCTAGAATAAAAAATGACTAACTAAAGATGGTTAGTTTCATGTTGAACGGAATGTTGAACTAGGTATAATGACCGACAACTAGTTTTAATACGAGATACATACACTATCAAAAGCATGATATTATAAATACGTAAGGTATAGTACGTAAGTACGTAAGGTATAGTACGTAAGTACGTACAGTACTTACGTATTTGCGTATGTACTCAAACATTTGAGTATGGACACTATTTGATAAAAAAGCTTTGTATGAATGAAAAACTAGTATAATATTTTTTTTCATTCAATTCTAAGTCATACTTTATAAGTCATACTTTAATGAACATCGCATCCATAGAGTTCAAGGGTTGAATTATTTTAAGGATTACAAAATAGTATTTGTATGAACACAAATTCAAGCGTTATTAAAAATAAAATATATAACGATAAAAAGATTAGCAATCATATATATCAGATATGTATATTATCAGTTATGTACGTACATTATGTATATTAAATACGTATGCTCAACACCCGTTTCATAACTAGTTACTATTATTAACCGTAACACAATCGTGTATAATGCACGCGTAAAAGTTTGAATAACTTGTTGATTAAGCGTATCACATTGAAGTTAACGAGTCACGAATTGATTTTTTAGTCAAACCTATTTCGAAATTCTAATCTCCAATGAACGTTAGTTATGAACTTTTTTTTTAAATGATACAAACTCAAATAAGGTTAATATCTGATATATGAAATTGATGAAAATTAAACTTTCTGTTTCACTGCTGTAATGTATACATGAAATATCGGTATTCGAGATCTTAAGAAAGAAGTCATAAAGACTTTTTACAAAACTTTTAAAGTTATTGGAAATGAATAAAGATATATAAAGAAAACCAATGATTAATATTTTTTTAAAATGGATGGATTGTGAAATAGAATTAGGAATTCGTACTATTTAGAAAAAAAAAAGTAAAAAAATTTAGAAATTCATTTAAAGTAATAATTTAGTCCAAAATGATTTGTTTATTTTTTAATAGATACGTTCATAGTATGAATGCTTTGTTAGGATTCTTTATTCTTTAAGGTTTGGATTCTTTTAGACAAAAAGACAGGTGACATAAATTAGGAGTAAACCTTATATTTTAAATAATCAAGTTTTTTTTTTGTTACGTTGTGTTGATTAACAATGTTGTGTATATATGCTATCTATTGCATTACAGCATTAGCGTTAGCAGCGCATTAGTGCATAAGTGTGTATTACGTTATTAAAAAATGTATATATACGTTATATTACTGTATTATACGTTTTATTATATACGTTATATTCATATATTTATACAGTACAACATACAGTAAATGTAAATGAATATATATATTAGTTTATCAGAATTCGAGAATTACTTTTGTGTTCACGGAAGTTGGATGAACTTTCGGTGTAACAATCAAGCAAACATACATTGTATAACATGAGTATAACATGATGTATAACATGAGGTATAACATGAGGAATCCGAAATTACATCCGTAATCGGTGAATTTTCGAGATTTTTTTTTTTTTTTAACTCGGCTTACATGTTATGTTTACTTTAACGCTAACGCTAATTTTTGCATTCGGATCGGTTGATGGTACATTAGTTGGTTAAACCAAAAGATTATTACGTACATAGTACATATCTTACATATCTTTTTTTTTTTTTTTTTTAATATTCTTTATAATTTAATTTCTTTGTTGTGCTTTAAACACCATTCATCATACATCTAAATCTAATGAGTAACTTTCTTTGAAAAAAAAAAAAAGATGATCAGTATTATTATTGATGCTATTGTTGTCGAGTTAGGTATTAAAAGTGAACTATATTTACACTTATTGCTTGA